AAGTTAGAGAAAGTTTCTGGAGAGCTCTAAATGTGCATGTTATTTTTAGCTGTTTCTACATCTGACAGTTAAGCATCCCAGCCTTATTCGATTTAGCTAAAATATGGCTAACAATTCTTGTATGCTCTAAATGTTTCTGCAGTAATTCTTAGTCTGTAAACCTCATACCTTCAATTTGTAAATTTTAAAACTCACTGTTCCCATTTCAAACAAAACTCCAGCCAACTTCATTACAAGTTTCTTCACCCAGCGTCAGCAAGGTTTGGTCTTCCCTAGCAGCCACACACCCACCAAAGGCTCTACGGAAACATTGTGAACAGTGTGATTTACCATCCCAGTGGTGGCAGAACAGCTAACATAGGGTGACTTTATAGGGAAGAGTGCCAAAGAGGGTCAGGAAATCTCCCCTGTGGCAAAGGGATGTAGAAGTAAACAGAAACTTCTTGAACATGCTCTCTAGGACATCCTTTGTGTCCTTTAGCTCAGTCTTGGTCTTGCTCTCTCATACATACCCTTCCTCTGTATTTACATTGCAAATGTGACTATCAGCATCATTAAAGTTTTTGTTTTAGAAAACAAGAACATTAATCTCAAAATTGTGTCAACAAAATATGCCCATTTGATTACTTCCCAACCCATCAAAAAAAAATTAGGATATTATTATTATTACTCATGCCTGCAGTTTATAAATATGAAGGTTAATAAAGCCATTTCATTCCCTGGGAACCAGTCTAGATTGATCTGTCTTTCTAGTTTATCACAATCTCCCAGCTGTGGGAGATAATCTACATTAAGAAATGGTGTCCCTAAGATTAATAGCAGTCTTGCAGGCCACAAACATACCCATTAGATTTCACATTTTATCTGATAAATACATTTCAGTGGAGTAACTTTGGAGGACAGGGAAAGTGTAGCCACGATTGTACAACTTAAAAGTCCACTTAGTTATTAAATGCTCTAAGAACCATCACTGCCTTCTGCTGCTGCATAAGAGCAATTTGGAGAACAGGCCCAGGCTCTCAGCCTAAAAACAAGCTGGAAGGGTAATAAATGCAGAGAAAAACCAGTTTTGAAGCCACCTAACCGCACATTACCCAGCCTCGGATCATCAGGCACCTGAGAGAAGCCACCTCAGTGCTGATGGCGATGGACTGACTTCCCCAGCCCTCCTTTGGGCCATGGTTGTATTATGCTCTGTTGGACTTCCATGCCTAGCCATGCCCTTCATGAAAGTGTAGGCATCCTCTGTACTGATGTAAAGATTTCAGACCAGTTCAGGACCCTAATAAGCATCATCTGCAACTATGTCACCAGCAGCAAGTTCCAAAAACTGAATTACTCAGAAAAAAAGGGCTGGATTTTAGCAGCTATAAAGTAGTCATGACCACATAGCATGAGATTTGGTAAACAAAGTGTGGAATTTACCTTTGTATCAGTCATCTTTTTATGTATTTTAATGATTTCCTGTTGCCATCCAACCTTGTGTCTATTTTTGTACTCAGACGCAGCGTGCAGAAGGCACCATCACCTTGATCTGTATACCTTTACCCTCAGCAGCTCTTTAAAAATCCATCTCTTTTACAAGTGAGAGTATGTAATAGCTACAACTCTACCAGGAACAGAGGTTCTGGCATTCATCTTGAACTCCTGAATCCATCTGCCTGATCCAAACGACTGCACGAATCCACTACCTATCTCAAGCCTTTGGACAATATTTCATAAAATGCAATGAAACTGCAGTATGTGGGGAAAAAAGCAGTAACACAAAACTCCACCTTGATTTCCATCAAGTCAAGCAACAGGAGATGGATGCAGAGTTAAGGTCACTGCAGAGATTTGACCAAACATTCATTAGATAAACTTGCCTCCACAGCCTCACTCTGCCCTCTCATAAGAGGCAGGACAACAAGGAATTATGACTGTCTGTGGCTGCACATCTGTCTTATCTGCTAGTGAGTGTCACAAGAGGCAACATGTCTGCAAGAGAGATCAAAGCTGGACCCTTAAACATTTTAAAGTTAACTGCACTGCACAAGGCAGAACCTGCTATTCTGTCTCCCATAGGCAGATGAGTTAATACACAACAATGAAATCCACCAAACTCCTAGGCAACTTTCAAATTCAAGTAACTCTGGGTATGAAGAAGAGTCTGCGATACAACCCTGAAATACACAGGTTTTCTTTAAGCTTGCTAACTTGTATACGGGTCCCTCAGTTACAAAAACCCAAAGCAGTTGTGATAGGGATTGCTGCAAGAGAACAGATTAGATCAGTGTACAACAAAAGCATCAGACTGATTTTACACAGTTCAGCATTCTGCGAGAGAAAAAAAAAGAAAATGGCTAAAGGGGCAACGCAACTCATCTGAAGAAAACTTCTCATTGCACAAACTCACAGCCACTAAAGTGAGGATGGGACTTAAACAGAGATGCACTGCAACTGTACCTTCCTGCCTGGGAGCGGGAGAGCCTGATCATGATAAATTACTTTCATAAATGCAGATCATCCTGCTCTTTCATATCAAGTCTTCAGCATTTATTTTCGTTACAGTAAATAACTGCACCTACGGGATCATTTTACAATTCAAGTGTTTGCATAAACCTGTTGCAAGTCAATGCGTACATTCCCCAGGAGATTCAGCACAAAGACAAAGTTATTTTTTCTCTTGGCTAATGATACAGATAGCCATCAGTTCAGGCTCCCTCATGAAATATTTACACAGCTTCATCCTGCCATCATGCTGGAAATGACACCCCCGATCAGGAGAGCTGAGGGTTTACAGCCAAGTCACTGCTGAGGGCTCCGTCTGCATTACCTGTTCTGGTTACAGAAGCATGAAACCAGAAAAGGAGACTGCAGCTAGGCAGATCAACCATGCAGAACAGGAATAAAGGGGCTAGTAATGGCAACTATATCATTTAAAGTTTCAAAATTCATCAAAAAACCTGGGACGTGACTGCGGCAGCACAGTTCAGTGGCATCAGCCACAAAGGCTGATCCACAGTTTTAGGGGCTCCTGTCTCATCAGCTGACCACAGCTGATATCCAAGAGGGGCAGGACACTTCCACACACAGAGCACAAAGCATACTTCCAGTCCTCACCAGTCCCACACAGACACTTGCACTCTCAGGGTTTAACCATTTGCAGAGGCAAGAGGGCAGTATTCAACTGCCAGGGCAGAACAAGTGTTTGCATCTCCTCCGAATGAAAGGCAGCAGATGAGTGCCCGTGCTCAGATGGAAGCCGTCCCTCAGATCAGCATAGTAACTTGTACACACAACACACAGGCCTCTCACTGCTCAAAGAGAGCAACAAGAAAGGTAAAGAGAAAGTAGCTAATTGTTTGAATCATGCACCAAAGTGATACACAGCAATAAATTTTCACTGGCAATGTATAAAACCATACCACACTGACTTCAGCCGTGCTCACTACCAGAACAATGAGCATGAGGATCTAAGAGCAGAAAGTATTTTATTGCTGTGCTCACTTTTAATTCATAAACTGGACTATGATACATAGTTTTCCTGATTTATACTACACTTTGATCATGGTGTTGCCATATTTTGTCAGTCAGTGAAAACTCAATGCCTCATTTGTCATAAAACCGCTGGACGAAAACACCTCCTTTCCCTGGTCTAAACCATCTGGCAGGGCGTACTGCTACAGAAAACCCAGTTCCCTTCTTGCCAGTGACCTCTAGTGGGGAGCACATGCAAGAGAAGAAAGAGGACCACTTACAGCAGGTACACAGCGAGAAAGATTGATCCTTTCGCCCTCCAAAGGGGAGGCCAAACAGTCTGTCCATCCATCCTTCTCTTGCCAACTGCTGTGCAGAAATCCGTACAAGCTCAGGGGCAGCAGCTCTCACACAAGCCTGCTCTCCTAACAGTTTGTTCCAAGCAGCAGGAAGTGTTTTACCTCCTTCCCCCTCCCTAAGGTGAGGAACAGACGCCCACGTTCCCCTTGTAACCTCCTCCCCTCCCAAGCACGCAGCCTGGCTTGCTGTGGCCCAGCAGTGTCACATTGGCCCAAACTGCTGAGGAGATTGTTAAGATTCGGGAAAGAGCCATGAGAAGTCCACGCCAGAGGCACACAAGATAAGGAAGATGTAATTACAGACAGAGCTAGGTTTATTGAGGGGTATGGAGAGCAGCTCCAGGGTTCACAAGGAAAGATACCACCACGGGAAGATCACTGAGGGGGAACAGAGTCAGCAGGTGGCACCACAGTACATCACAGGTCCAGCCTGCGGCCAACCCTTCCCCTCCAACCGCCAACTGCGCGGCCAATCATTGAGGGGAGCATGCTAAGGCTTAGCCTAGCAGCTATTTATATCCTCACTCCTTTCTGTGTGCTAACCAAATCAATGAGTTCAGTATATCCTGTTTGCAGGCTGAACACAGGAAAAAAAAACCAAACCATGAACAGAACTGCACAGGAACAGAGGCAGTAACAGCCTGAAACGACACAGGAATTAGGGCTGTGCCAGAGAGGCTCAGCACAGGTCAGATCAAGCTCACTGGCTTGCACTGCAAGCACAGCACCTCACCTTAGGGCAGTGGCAAGCAAGGCACAGAAGCTCCCTGCAGCAGCGCGTTACCACTCCACCTGCAGCTTTGCTCCCCATCGCAGCACACACCTGCGTTTCAGCTGGCGTACCCACAGGCAGATATAGCAACACGACTTGTGTTTAGACACCAGACTGAGAATCCCCGTGGCAGAGATGTACAGTCAGATCTGAACATAAGCTACGGAAGTGATTTTTCTTCAGACTTAAAGAGCAGGTTACCACTGCAGCATTTGCTCAGGGAACAAGTCACAGTTAGCCCGTAACTATATCCAACACTCCTCCAAGTATGTTCTTTTTTGGGACAGGTTCTCCAATAGCTCATATTTTACTCTAACTAGACCCTACAGATTCAAATTCAGCAGGTAATATTTTAATTAATTCAACTGATCAGTGACAGACACCTGACAGTTCTATACTCGCTCAGTACCTTTGCTTTCTTCATGTGGCTCATGATATTGCCGAGATCTTCAACATCAATGACAGAACTTGTGCCTCCAGTTTCCTCAGCATCAGCCGCCGCCTCCTCCTCGCTACTGGTTTCAAACTCCTCTGCCTGCATAAGAGAGATTAAAGAAAAAAAATTAGGAACATATCTGAGTGTTAAACATAAGACCTTCATCTATGCTAACCAGCAAAATCACCTCTCACAGTCAATAAAGACAACTGAAAAAGAATAGTCGAGCAATCACCTGTATAATGTATATGGGGCTTTTATCAGCATTTAAGAGTTCACTAGCACACAGACCACCTGAAACTTAGTCCAGATATCCAGCCTCCAGACCCTTAGTGCTCCGTTTTCCTCATGCGCCTATCTGATCACACATGAAGTGACGAGGAAGGGTCCAACTCTCACTGCATACTATGACAATCTGGAAGCCTAAACCCCTTTAACTCATCCAAGTGCCTGTGCCTGAATGAACAGGGAGTGAGAGATCTGCTTTCCAAGTCAAACTGTTCAGAGCAGAAAAGCTGTCTTCCTTTCTGCACACAGTCAAGGTACACAAAACAGCATTCGCAGAACAGCAAAATTTATTCCTCTTGTTCCTGCAGCGGCCAACACATTCAAACCCACTCAGCCAGAAGAGCCCCTATTTTCCTACAAAATTCAATACGGCCACAGCAATCATTTCCAACCCACAATAAATGGCCTACAGGGAGGATTAAAGCATCACAGCAGTTCAGGGTCTTGCACTGCAGAGCAAGAGAGGATTTCTTATTCAAAACCTGCAATCAAACACTCCAAAAGACACACAAATGATTACAGGCAGACAGAGGACTTGCTCAGATAACACCCTCCCAAGTGCCTCTGGAAAAATCTTGGGATGCAGGCAAAGCACTTAAATTTCAACAAGCTGAAAGGGAAGCAGGTTAACTGCTCACAGAGAACTCCATGCTTCCCTCTGCCATGAGACAAAGCAAAGACTGATGAGAACCCAGACTGGCTCCCTGCAGCACCTCTCACAACAGATACCTCCTCCTGTTCCAGGGGAAGGCTCCCTCATCATACACATGCCATCTGGCCTAGGTCCATCACCAAGTCTTTGCTCCTTCTTTTTGGAAGACTTATTCTACCCATTATTCACCATGGCACCTCATCCCTCTTCCCTCTCCGCTCCACAAAAAGAAGTATCAAGCTCTCGCAGCACCCCCTGGGCTGCAGGGGGAAGGAGAAAACTCAAATAGGATTCCAAGGGCCACTGAACCACAACCAAGGTCCCATGGATTTTGGCTCTACCTCAGTATCCTCGTATTCTGATGCCCCATGTTCATGATCCCAGCTCTCCTTGCTCTGCTTCCCCGCAGATTTGCACTTCCCTTTCTTGCACTTCCCACTGCAGGGCTTCTTTTCCCCTCTGCAGAGCGCCTGGAGCCGACTGAGGAACTTGGCTTTCCAGGCTTCAAAGTCGGCCTCAATGCTGCCATGCTTGCTCTGCGCCACGTTGCAGTCCCCCTCAGCACGAGTCATGATACGGCTGGCACTGAGCATCCACAGCCACCTGTCCATGTTTCTTCCCACCTAGGACAGGAGAAGAGTTAGAGGGAAATTAAACAAAGCTCAAGTTAAACAAGACAGGCAAGGAAGAAAGCAAGGAGGAAGCCTGGAAGCAGAGCTACATAGGTGAGCTGCACAGGACTGCAAGGCAGGGACTTCTGGAGTCCCTCTCACCTGCTGACTCAGAGGCCACAAGTCAGTCTGAACAGCACCACAGACCTTCAGCTCCCATCTGGAAATGTCCCCAGAGCTGCTCTCTGACCAGAGCAGAGTGACAGCGGGGGTAAGCTGCTCTGTGCGATGCTTGTTGGTCAAAACATCTACAGCCGTAACACATTTCATGCAGCCCCAGCTATACAAACATAACACCCCACTGACAAGTCACGCCATTTTTCTGACTGAGATGAAACTAAGTACCAGGGTAAGATACCGTCATATGTTACACCAGGAAATAAAGCTAAAATCCGCACAATACAGCAAAGTACAGAAGATGATAGAGAAAAGCACTCTAAACTCAAAGGCAGCAAGTGAGAGGGTTTACGGTGCTGTGCCCTCATGCTGACAGCAAGCTTGCAGAGCTGGGAAGTTCACTCAGGAAGGATTTACCAAGTTATCAGTGCAGTGCTTACAGGACTCCTTTCCCATTTAAATGGGCAGCACAATGGCTTCGAAGCTGCACTGCCGGTGCCCTGAACCCAGTCCCTCTTCAAGCCCGCACAACAGCCGCAATTCTCACACAAACTACCAGTATCGCTCAGTTCTGAGGCATTTAAGAATGTTTACGGGAGTTTAGCCTTCCAGAGGAGTGGAAATCAAAGAAAGGTGCACAGGACATACTTACAGTGTTGTAATGATCAACATAAACTGAGTTTCCCAAGCCAAACACAGCATATCTCAGGCCTTTCAGATACATTTTCCCAAAGCGGAAGTCATTTGCAGCCTCTTCTAACCACTTGCAGAACCACGCTGCACTCTCGGTAGGCTGTCCATCTGTGTATGTAGCTACCAAGAACACACAAATGTTCCTGCCAGTTGCCTAATAATAGAAAGAGAAGGGAATAGGAAAGATCACTGCGTTTTTCAGAGCACTTGACATCAGTGAGAGAGCTGTAACACATGGGCAGTTGGGAGAAGAAGTCGAAAGACAAGATATTTTGCTAAGTGGGTTAACAGTCTTTGGTGTGGGATGATAATCCCAAGGGCGGCGAAAGGCCGTCCTCCCTGCAAAGCCATCTGACATTAGCCAAGAGACACCAAGCTGTCTTCCCTCTACCAAGAGGGACACCATGATCAACCCAAACTGGACAGTGACCTTCCCTACCCCAATCAACAGCTGCTGGAACAGACTCTCACAGCAATAAAGTCTCCCATGGATTCAAAAAGCAACTCTCAATAGTCACAGAAGAAAAACCCGTCAAGGACTACCCAAAATAAAGGCACCTCCCAAGAAGTTTCTAACCTACAAGTCTATAAAGCGTGCAGAAGTATCGCCATCATCTTACTCCGGTTTTGAACCCTTCCCCGAGCGTACACCATCAGAGACCGAGCAGGGGGACCCGGTGCAGCCACTCTCACGTAACTCGCACCTGAGTTGCGGAACTGGCTCATACAAAGCCACTGTTGGCATCAAAACGCTCTATGTGATCCCTTCCGAGGAATTTTCAAAGTTTAGGTATTTTCCGCCAAGGGTTGATGGGCTATACTCACTTGCGTAGAAGGGAAGCCATTTTCTACACACAGCTTGGGGGATTTCCAGGATAACAGGAGAGAAATACAAGAGGAAAAGAGCCTTCCCAATCCCAGGAAAACCTTTTCTTTATTATTCATATTTATGAGGAACCTACCTCCTCTGCTAAACAATCATCTGGATCATAGTCTCCCATGCTAATGACTTCCACAGGCAAATTAAGGGAAATAACTGCTTCAGCCAGACCCTTGGCAAATCTCTGAAAAAAGGAATTTAGGAAGTCATCAATTACTTCAACTCAGCTCCTGTAAGGGTCAAACAAGCCCAGCTACGCCCAGTCACAAGACTTCTCCCAGCACAGAAAGAACAACAGCACATGAGAACTGGACACTGCACCTGTAATTCCTCACATTTCAAAAAAAAAAAAAAAAAGAAAAGAGTATACTGGCTGAAAGAGAAGAGTTACATTAATTTTCATGACTAATGATTTCACATTTACACGCAGAAATTAAGTTTATTTTTGAGAAAGCACCTAAACTTCTTCCAGAAGACTTGCTAGCAAATGAAGAGCATATTTTAAGAATAAACTTCATGCTTCTTCATCAAGGTCTCTACTGCATGCCTCACGTAAAGGGAGAAGAAAAATTGGGGGGGTTTGTATAATTTTCACTTACCTTTCATGCTGGGCAATGACTTCTAATGAGTTAATGAACCTTCTGATGAACTTTCAGATGTTTACACAGTGCAGCGTTTCTAAGGCAAGCAACATACTCTAATTTCAACAATATTTCCAATCAACCTCACGTACGTGGGAAGAAGAAAAGTAACTTATACCTTTGCTGTGCCAGTCTGAGACCCATAGAAGATCTTGACCCCAGCAACACAGACTTCCTTCGCCTGCAGGGTGGCATATCCATTTACTAGTTTGTCTTCTCTTCCTTCAGAAGCAGCTGGATTCCTATTGGATTTTTCACCCTAAGAAACAAGCGCCGCATCTCATTCAATCCCTTGCCAAAGGGATGTTAACCCAATTTTCCCAAACACGTTTCAAACACAAATCCTCTGACCAGACTCTCAGCACTACGCAAATGCCACAGGTGAAGCATTGTAGCTTCTCGCCCCTAGAGAAACACACGAGGAACTATTTCTCTGAACTAGGCCGTGCTACAAGAAACTCATCTCACACCTTGGGAAGACAGAAGGATCCAACTGAAGCCGAGAGCCTCCCAACTCACGCAGCAGAACTTCGCTCACCTACACAAGGAGACTTTAACAGCCTCATCCCACTCCCATCCTAAAACCAGTCCAACCTCATCATTAACATCAGTGGAACCATGAACCTGAAGACACCAGCCACAAGCAGAGTGAGGTACTTGCAGTGACAGAGCAACCCAGGGTGACGCATTCTCTCAGGAACAAAGTGAGAAGTGCTCAGCTGAGATCTGCTCCAACATCAGAGCAACGGGGGCGTTCAGTTACCCACAATCACGAGACAATCCAAACTGGGATTATAACCACCAGGTGAGTGGTTATAAACTACCTTTAGGATTTGCAGCAACCCAGCTGGGCCCACAGGGAAGCGGCACATTTCTCTGCACCCGTGGGCACCTTCACCTGGCAGCTACTCACTTCCACATACAGATTTTGGGGTTTTCTCAGACAAAAGTGCTTACGTGCTCAGTTATCTTCTTTCTGGTGGTGAAGAACCGAACAACGATCCAAATGCTGATCCCAAAAGCAACAGCAGAATAGATGTAAAATCTGCGCAGCCATGCAGACACCAGGCAAGTACAGAAAAAGCTCCACGTATCCATTGAGACATCTAAACCTAGAATAAATCAGGGATTTAGCAAGAGCAGATTCCTACAGTAGGAATTTAGAATAAGCACACAAAAAATAATCACATAGTACCCAGAGTCTCGTGCCATTAGCTGCTCTCAAGGCTCTACAGAAAAGAGCTCTTGGCTAATACAAGACACTCCAAATCCATCAAGGATCCATCCTTCACCTCCTCAGAGATGAGTAAGCTGCATTTCATCTGCGGACCCAAACTAACATTTTAGAGTACCGTATGGGAACTCCCCGTTTGTCTGAGATAAAGCGGTTCTGTTATAAGGAAAGGCAGAAAACACTTGTGCCGTGCGAGCCTCTGAAAGCAAAAAGTCCTTGCGAAACCTTCGCTGTATCGTACAGGTCTCGATTGTGCACAGACCCGACACGTGCAGAGCTCTGGAGCTAAAAAGCTCCATTTCAAGGGGGGAATCATCTCCAGAGACCTCGCAGCTAAACACAGCCCTTGCTTGTAGGCATTAGGCACCACATGGATTACAACAGCTCTGAGCCAGAGCTTCAACGCCGGGCTGACATCTGGATTCCACTGAAAGTACTTTTTCAGACTGCTGTCACCTGGCTGATGTTTGAGTCGGAACAGCTGAGGCGGTTCTGAACCAACTGGACAATTCAGGGCACACGATGCTGCAGGCAGCAGTGTGCTTGTGATTACCTGTCATCTCTAGGAAACATGCAGGAGCTTCAACAAGAGGGTGGTTTGTGAGACTTAGTGACTGAGAAACACAGAAGACACCCCCCTGCTGCTACCTGCGGTCCTCTTGGATCCGGTTTTCACGGACATCAGACATGACCACAGAAACCGAGGATTTCCAAGAGGCCGGGAA